CTCATTCTTCTACTCATTTTCAACCACACATTCTTCATTAAAATAATATTTTCCATCACATCAATAACTTTTCCTTCTTTTTCAACCACACATTCTCCATCAATCTACTATTCCAAAATATATTCTTCCAAAATAATATCCATCAAACACACCATTAAGTTCAAACGAACAATTCGTTTTGTTAAGATTTAAATGAGCACATGAATTTTAAGATTGTTGTTCTCAAACGAGTTATCATTTTGCAGGAGCCTGTTAATGGATAAAAGTCTCATATTTATTAAATACATAGTATTATAATATACATTATAGATATCTATTAAAATATCGATCATTAGATCTATTATACTTTATAGCAACGAGTCCGCATTATTAAATGAAAGTATTAAAATATGTGTGTGGTTATATAAAATGAAAATATGAAAAAGACATAGTCATTATAAATAAAAAAATTGATATTTTTCTTTGAAAATATTTTTTATAGACACCAAATTAGGAAAAAAATAACTAAAAAAAATGAGTGTTGCTATCATTTTGTCACCGCTCCTTAAAAAAGCCACCCACATTTTGTATATTAATCAGCATTCATCAAATAAAGATGCCACTCATTCCAACAAATTGGCTGGGTGTGTGTGTATAATGGATTCTACACACAGTTGTATACATACAAATGTATATTTATATAGATGTACAAAACTTCGGACTTAAAAGCTAAAGCTAGAGGTGCCAAAATGATCGATTTAACATGAAATGACATGACCCGTATTTGGGGCAGTCGAGGCAGGCAATTGCATGATTGTGTCCATAAATATAGATAAGATTAGAGGTGTTGAACGGATCGACTTAACATGACATGGGCCGGGCCATCGGCCTTGCATGATTGCGTACATACATATAGATACATGTTCTTGGTTGATTCTGTGTGCTTTTGTCCTCGAGTATTATGTGAATTATTATGTTGGGCAAGAGAGAAATGATAGCAGTCAATGAGCGCTATTATTTGACGAGGAGCTCATATATTCTATACTTGAGTTTTTATATATTTTTCCTTTATTTCTTGACTTGTTGGCCATTGCGTGCACGTTTTTGGCATTTATTCCTTACACACAATTAAGATTAATTTCAATATTGCATTACTCGATTTGATTTCAATCCCAGTAAATCAGTATTTTCGTGATTCTGTA